TCCCCCCAACTTGCTGTTTTGGACACTTCATAATTCAGCACCAGGTAATAAACAACACACAGATTCTAGCTCAAGAAATTAATTTTCTCCCCCTATGGGGCCGTGTCATATTTGTTTTACAGCCTCCCCGTAGTGCTAATGATGCCTTTTCATCGCCTTCCTTCTTTTGCCAGTCTGTCAGCCCTCTCCTTTTGTCAGTAGTGATACAGTTTCTCTCCCTGTCTCCCAGACAAAAGAGGAGCAGTCTCAGATCACCAGCCAGGTGACGGGGCAGATCGGCTGGCGTCGCGAGGGAATCAAGTATCGCCGCAACGAGCTTTTCCTGGATGTACTGGAGAGCGTCAACCTGCTCATGTCACCTCAAGGTCTGTTTAAACGGCCTCCCCAAACTGGGTGGGGTCTGCAGACATGAATAATTTATTGCATTTGTATCATTCAGAACAACTAGAGACAGCAGTTGAGAGTTTTGTGTTTCATGTCTCTCCTTGTTAATAATTATAATTATTTATTGCTTTATATTGGTCAGATCAGAGATCAGTACTCCTCCGCCAGGGAATGACAAAACAAATTCACCACAGGGTCCATTTAGTAGCTGTTCTGGAGCTTTCAGCAGCAGTGGATGTGGACATTTCCTGTCCATGTTGGCTTAAACGTTGAGACTGAAAGTTCATTCTTAACCTTGAAACAGAAGTTGTCAAGACTACAAGGTCCTTTTAGTTGCTGTCATGGTGCTTTTGATCATATCACACGTGTTCCTCAGCAGAGGTTGTTGGAGGGACTTTACAGTTTCAGCTACAGAGAGAAAATTAAACAATAATAAATCAGAATAGCAGACTATTTTTGCTTTGTGCTTAAAAACACTACTCTTGAAAGCAGATTTTGTTGAGTTTTACGGCTTTTATAAAAAAAAGACTCATTTATTTTGAAAAGTAATTTCCAACCTCGTGTTTTGATTGTCGTTATCAGCGTTGCATTTTTCTGTGAAGCAGAATTAGACCTGTCAGCATTCTTTCCCCTCTCCAGGCCAAGTCCTGAGCGCGCACGTGTCGGGCCGAGTAGTTATGAAGAGCTACCTGAGCGGAATGCCCGAGTGCAAATTTGGCATGAACGACAAGATTGTCATCGACAAGCAGGGCAAGGGAGGAGCCTCCGACGAAGCAGGGAAGAGGTGAGTGACACAACGAGGACGGCAAATTCAAATATCTAACATCAACCATACTTTGATAGACAAGGTTGGAAATGATTTTAGATCATCTGTTTTATTGAGATTAGTGTTTCCATCTTGAAAACCCTGAGCAGGAAATGTATTGTTGAGTCAACTTTTAAAAGACCACCTTGTCTGTTAGCCCCGTGTCTGTGTTATGAGTGTTGTCTTGCTGTTTACAACAAGACAGGCTTTACAATTTACTTTGATTTTTTTTTCTTTCCTTTTGGATGCATCTCTCCTTTCTTTCCCTCTCTTTCTTTTCTATGTGCTGTACCTCAGTGATTTAGGGGGAGGAAGGTACTGTACTGACAAGTGTCCTCACCCTCTGCCACCTTCAGATACACACACACACACACACTCTGACACACACCTGTCTTGTCTAAGCCCTTAAGCATATTAAGAATCTGAACATCTCATGCACTGTTACTCCGCACACACTCAATACAAATCAAACACGCCCTGTTAACACTTCAGTGTACTTGCCCGGTGGTTGTTTGCCTATACTGTGGAATGGTTGGTTTGTTTTATTAGCCCACACCTTCCTGCTTGAGTTTTAACTCTTTACCCAAACACCTAACAGAGATTGTGATTTGTTTTATTGCACCGTAGTGTCATTTTTATATTTTAGTTTTTCTGTCTTGATACTAGCAGTTGTGTCCCTTTTTTGTGTACTCGTATCTTTTTTTTTTTTTTTTAAACCATGAACATTAGTTTAGGGAGAGTAGTAGTTTTAACTTTTGAAGAATCGTTGTCATAGTTATTAGATCTCATTTGAAACAAACCAGTGAACTAATATTCTTTCGTCTCTTTTGTGTGTGTCTCTGATGTGTTTTTTCTCCCAGCAGTGGGAAGCAGTCCATAGCCATCGACGACTGCACTTTCCACCAGTGTGTGCGCCTCAGTAAGTTTGACTCAGAGCGTAGCATCAGCTTCATCCCCCCTGATGGAGAGTATGAGCTCATGAGGTCAGTAGATGGAGTTCTTCTTTGATATTTTTTAAAGCTTTTCTTTATTATTAAACCAAGAGCAGAATGTGCTAGAATAGTTTTCAACGTTTTAGTATGAAAACCATATGAAAAGCATATGACGTACTCTAGTTTGTGTCCATTCTGTCTTTGTATAAATAGTTTTGAGCACTGACTGATTGAGAAAGGCATGGATGGACAAACAAACAAGAATTCTATGAAAGTGTTTTTTCTCTTCCCCTTCCTGCAGGTATCGCACCACTAAAGACATCATCCTGCCGTTCCGAGTTATTCCTCTGGTCAGGGAGGTAGGACGCACTAAACTGGAGGTCAAGGTGGTCATCAAGTCCAACTTCAAACCCTCGCTGCTGGCCCAAAAGATCGAGGTGAGCTCTTGTTATAGTCAGGATGATGATAAATGCAAACAGGCAGCAAACAGTTTCCTCACATTACATCAGAGACACTCAGGAATCCCCCCCCACTCCCCCACTCCCCCATTGCTTTGGTTGCTTTAATTGCTTTAATATTAAAGGTTTTGTTCATCTTCATTATCAATTCCTCAGGTGCGTATCCCAACGCCCCTCAACACCAGCGGTGTGCAGGTGATTTGTATGAAGGGAAAAGCCAAGTATAAGGCCAGTGAGAACGCCATTGTCTGGAAGTGAGTAGTAGCTCGTATATTGATATACAACCAAACTCAGTTTGTATTCTGTGTGTGTGTGTCAAGTTAAAGATTAACAGCTTCTCTTTGGTGGCTTTGTTTGTTTAACCTCACATACACAATCCTCTAGTTGGCCCTTATTTATATACATATATAGAGAGCGAGAGAGTGAGTTTTAAATGAGGTTCCTTGTTACTGAAATGTACGACACTTACAAAGCTTTACTGTGTGTAGGATCAAACGCATGGCTGGGATGAAGGAGTCTCAGATCAGCGCTGAGATCGAGCTGCTGCCGACCAACGATAAGAAGAAATGGGCCAGGCCTCCCATCTCTATGAACTTTGAGGTCAGAACCCATTAATAGTTTACAGTCTCTGCCTTCCTCTGTCACACACACACTCAAATGTGGCCCTGGTATCAGACACAACCTGCTTACTGTTACCTCACACACACACACACACTTCCTGCTCAGAGCTTGTAGGAAGAACTCGACGACCTGTGTGGCCTACAGCTCCCAGCATGCCCCGACACGTCGGTAACCTCCCTCCTCTCGTCTCTGCAGGTTCCTTTTGCTCCCTCCGGTCTGAAGGTTCGGTACCTGAAGGTCTTTGAGCCGAAGCTCAACTACAGTGACCACGATGTCATCAAATGGGTGCGGTACATCGGCCGCTCCGGCATCTACGAAACGCGCTGCTAAAGTTCAACCCCGCCTGGCAGCGAACTGACCACTTCTCCTCCCATCTATCTTGTTAAGATTTTTTTTCTTCTGCCCCCTACTTTGTCTCTCTCTCTCTTCCTCCCCTCAAACCTTATAGCTCCTCTCATACACCCCCCCTCTCCCCCTCCACCACCCTCATCCCTTCCTAACTAGGTGTTGGAGATTGAATTTACATCGTTTAAAAAAAAAGTAAATATGATATAATGCACAGATATATGCAAAATGTGAACCATTGTATCGTATATATCTCGTAGTGATGAGTAAACCTGTAAACCAACTGGTGTCCGAAAGAAAAAGACAAGCGATGCAGGTAGGGACCAGGGGGAGAGGACTGGAAGCACCTTTTGGTGTCTTTTTAAAGGGTGCCCTGTCGTGTTTATTCAGTGTTATAGTTCCACTATCTTCTCTCCAGTTACTTTTAGAAGCCCCACAAATCCTCAAGTAATCACTGGTAAGATGATTAGTAGCTGTTGTGGTTTAAAATGAATCCTGATATTGTTCCTGTGTATGAACCTCTGTCTCAGTAGAGTCTACCCTTTAAACTGAGATGCATTTTCTGATTCTGTATTGTGGACTGATTGATATTTCATCTGTGTTTTTGGTCACTTGGATCAAAAGTCTCATTTCAGCGTCTCTTACGGGTAGTTAGGAAAGAGAAGGAATTGATAGACTGAGCTGTTTTTGTACTTTTCTGGAGAGTGTATTGTTTCTTCCCCCCCCTGCTATTTTTCCACTATTAGATTTACCAGCATTCAGTGAGCTAAGGTCAAAGTAAAGTTAAAGACATAGGGGAAACATTCCAGACAGTTTTGAGGTTTGACCGTCATCCCGATAAGTTAGTACGTGACCTACATTTCCTGTTTCTTAAGCACTGAGATCAACTTAGTCACACTAGTTTGATTCAAAGATGCTCTTGGGAAATCTGGCACTGGGAGTGTTTGTAGTGAGGTGAGGTCTCCCCCTGGTGTTTGCCTCGTCACTGTCTGCTTCTTCATGTTTGTAGCCCTGGTGACCGTTCTGTCCAATAAAATCTGACTATGTAACCAACCCTGCCTCTACCCTCTGTGTTTTTCATTAAGTTGATATTATTTCAGTTCGTCTTTATTCTGTTGCATCACTGTTTCCTCTGTATGTTGTATAAATGTGGGAGGGGGCTGCACAGGAACAATGGGTTTTGGGGGACAGTGGTTGCAGCATGGCTTTGCTTAGTCCACTTTTCATCCTGTCCTTTCATTTGACGAATATATTGGCTCAAAACCTTTTCATTCTTTCACATGTTGAACGGAAACTGCTGAATTGAGTGAATTGTGCCCAAATGTGACCAACAGACTGTGAAGGGATACACTCCCTGATCCCAGCCGTTCTCATAACAATAAATGCTCATTACAGAAAAACCCCTCTGCAGGTTTAATAAGCCAGATGACAAAATAATTGGTCAAGGTCAGGAAATGCTTTGGCTAACATGTTTAATACATTTTTCCTGTCTTGCTCTTTCTCTACATCCAGGACATTTAAACAAAAATAGCCCCAAACAGTAACATAACACATGATTAAAACACTTGGTGTTAAAAACATTAACATTTGTTTCTAGTAGTAGTGGCTGTTATTGGCCTGCCACTCGAGTCTTTGCCACCTAGAACTCTTTCTGAGAAGTTCCCACTGATTTAAAGGAAGAGATTCCACAAGAACTGAGGCAAGGCTTCCCAAAAGTAGCTTAGCACCAGAATCTAGGCTAATTATACTCAAGTTGTACTTCTAATACCAAGAGTAGAGTTTGTAACTCTGAGAATCCTTCTCAGTAGTTTCCCAACGGATTTACATCCACGAGAACAGAGGCAGTCTTTGTCGCTGCAGCAAAGATTGATTGAAACTGAGTGCTTTTGGGAAACCAAGCCGAGAACAGATCTATCAGACACCTGCCAATGTTTATATTCGTGTCATCAAACAGTATTGCATTACATCTTCAGATGACCTGTGATGTTTAATTTTTCGGTTATATAGGAGACACAAGACATGCTTTTATCACTTGAGATGCAGGACGCACACCGAGGCTGGAAAATCTCAAATATTTGACCCAGTCACATTGCTTCAGTGCTGCAACAATGGCTCTGTTCAGAAAGGAAAAATAATGCTCCTACTTTGTGCTCATCTTAGGAAACAGAATCAGTTCAGGGAAGGAGGAGGTAGCTACATAAATGTTGATCTGGAGTTTCACTGATGCATAAATCTGAATCCCTCACACCACTATAGGGCAGTCCTGTCTGTAAAAACGCCTCTTAACTGCGTGGACAGTTCACCTGTATATGGGTGCAAACCCCAAAGCCCTACGCTTTTGGGACGGCCACCAATGAGGAAGCCTTAATTCAGTCCTACTTTGTGCTTGCGCCTCTGACTAACCAAATGATGTCATTTCTTATAAGAAGTAGGGCATTTAGACAGTTCTCAGGTCTTCTTTGATACAGCTAATTCTATTGTCATCACCTGTTATCAGATGAAGAGTATTATTTCCCTACGGCCCAGGTGATTCATGATCTGCATTACAAAAAAATATAGAACTCCAGCCTTGCTCGTGTTGATTCAGTGCTCAGACTGCTAAAAAGGGATGATTAAAAGAATTATCTGTACAGAGAATAAAGTAAGGAAAGAGGAAATCTACAAAAATAAGTATTTCTACATAAACACTGAAATGGGTCATCCTTGCATGACTGTCACTGACGCCACGAGAAAGGTGTCCAGTTTGAAACTAGTCTTCCAAAGACCGAATCTTGTCAGCAGACAAAAGAACATTTAATAGCAAATGTATTACTATACGCAGTGAAGTCAAAACTGAACCCAGACCTGTCGACAGATGGAGAATGCTGACAGAAGACGTTTCAGACATGCCGACGCGAGAGCTTGCACGCACAAACATCACATGCACATACACACAGACACACGCAGCCCCAGTGCAGGCAGGCAAACTTGGAGGAGAAAAAGCTGCTGTTTAGTAGACATTTAACGACTCTGAGATTCACCTCAGATTCCATGTGAGTTTGTTACTTTAAAAGAAAAGAAAAAAAGCCAGGTTGGTTTCCTGTTAATATGAGCAGAATATAAACTGCCCCACATGAGCAGGTCATTTAAATGTCCAGTTTTATGACCTGCCCTAAAAAAAACCTCCCCTGGAGACATTCAACAGTGTCTCCACGAGGTCTCAGCTCACCTCTCCCACACCAACATTTAGATGTGCTGTTCCAACAAGTGACCAAAAAACCTGCGAGCCCTCCCGCTAAAGCCATGACAAAAACAAATAAACTCCTACCTCACTGCAACGCCAACCTTAAGAATACCGTCGTAGATGAAAGAGTGCACTGAGTGGAACCCCTGCAGATATTCCTAAGTGACAGTGAGTGACTAACAAACTCAACATCAAAAGTGAATCAGATATATTAGACTAATTTTCCAAAAACTCAAATGACTAGTGGTAACTTTTACTGACCGTTACACAAGAACAAAAAGGACAAAAATGAGCTGTGGAGGAACTGGCTGTCCAAGTTAACGTGACACTGAAGTGCTAAATGCCAAAGTAAAATCAGAAACATAAACAATGGAAGCAGGAGCTCGGTGAAAACCACGTTACTCGACAGCTAACTGGTAGCACTGGCTGCGGCCCCGACAAAAGCCAACAACTCAAACACGCTCTAGTTTTCGTCGTTGTCGTCGTCGTCGTCGTCGTCTTCGTCGTCGTCCTCGCTGATGAGGTATCCGCGGGCCCCGCTGTGGTGGGGCGGAGGCGAGGGAGGCGGGGAGGTCTTGGTGAAGAAGGGGAGACGGAAGGTGGGAGAGGGGGAGCGCTCCTCGCGGGTGGGGCTGCTGTTGGGGCTCTGCCGGGGGCTGATGGCCTGCAGCATGCGGCCCTTCCCTTCCTTCAGCATGTGCTTCTGCGGAGGGGAGACGGAAACAGAATCAAACCCAATCCTCTCAAACGCTGGACTGACCTAACGCAGATCTGAAGAGACGTTACAGTAGCATCCACATTACTCTGCATGCTCTGTTAGCATACCACAGGCTTCTATCAGGTCTTGGTTATGAGGGGCCGAGTCAAGTCAAAGTCCTTAACTCTAGGTTTGTTTTAAGCCCTAAAGAAGTAATCATGGGCACCTCAGTAACTGTTGCTATTTTAAAGAGTAAAAGTATAGTAAATTAACTCCCAATAAAAGTCTGTTTCCTATTCTATTCTATCCCTCTGCAAGATGTCTCCTTGGCCAGCAACAGTGTAAATGTCTGACTGCCTGAATAAACAGCGATGAAAGACAAAGCATAACCAACATCCTCACCAGAGCTCCCTCAGGGCCAAACATCTGCAGGAAGTTGCCGATGAACTCCCTGGATTTCTCCTCCCATTTCTGGATGAGGTCGATGCTCTTCTCCTCCACCTTCTGGACGAACTCTTTGCTCTTCTCCTCCACGTCACGCACCTTCCTCTTCACCTTGTCCACGCGCTCCTGCAGGTGGTACTTCTTCTCCTGATAGGAGTGGGGACAGCAAAGGTTACAACACCATAAGAGGAGAGCTCAGTGCTGCCACATATTTGACGAGATTAAACCCCACACACTGAAAGTGCCCTCACGTTACGAGCTCTCTCACTCAATTAAACCAAAGCTACGTTTCATACGTTGATGAAGCTGACGTTGAGTTCCTTTGCTGTGTATCCTCTCTGCAGGTTGCGTCTGACGTACACGTCATAGTCACGGACTATGCGTGTGATGATGTCAGAGGTGGAGATGCCCTCTGTCCGCTGGGTGGGAGCGAACATACCTGTGGAGGGCAGAGGGGGTCACGAGCGTGAAAAGGTCAGTAATCAACAGAAACCGCTGTACAGCTGTCAGTGAGAGGTGCAGCTGTACGTAAGACTTGAGCCACAGGCTAAAGATTGCACAAATGATTGCAGTTTAGATTTCTAAAGAGGTTGCCATAGTAACAGTGTTTGTTTCTTATCTCATGCCTAAAGGACAGAGTAGGAACTTGTGCTAAATCTATTTCAATGTAAAGTTTTCTTTGGGGTCATCGTGGAATGTTCAACTCTATTAATCCACTGATTTTACATGAAGTGAAGCACAGGTATTTCACTGTCTCTCTTTTCTCTTCTTGTTACGTTTAGATTTGTGTTGCTTAACTTCCAACGGCCGTGTATGCATGCCGTGTGTGTTGCATATATGGTGTATGCATGTGAGTCTGCATGCATGAATCTATGTTCTGAATACTCCCCTGCATAAGGTTTGAGCAAAACACATGTGGACACAACACATATTTAGGATGATAAATCATTGGTATGACTATATACAGCACTATCTTCCACTGACACATGCTCCATTTATTAAGTTACACTAGAAAAAACCGGTCTGGCACTCACCAGCTTCCTTGATATGCTTGTACACATCATCACTGCCCGCTGAGGAGTATGGGATGTCGTCATGAGCCACAAAGTCAATCTGGAGAGTTCATTACAACATACATCAACACAGTAGATTCAGATCTACAAATAGTACAGAAACAAAAATACACACAAAAAAAACAGCAGGGAAACGGTTACAGAGGATCAGCCAACTCATTCTTAATATCTGATCATTTTACTTAATAAGTTCTTGGTCAACATTTCCACATTTCCAGTTTATGTCCTTTAACTCTGGTGTTTCTCGGTTTCATCCACTCACGCGATGTCTTATGAGGAACTCCGGCGATAATGTCCAGGGAGCGTTTCGCACCACTTCGTCCACATAGCGGCAATGTCTAATGGCATCGTAGCGCTCATCCTCATTCATCACCGTGAAGCCCTTGTATTTGTGGGTCAGGTCATCACTGCACACTTTAAACAGTTCAAATAAAATACAGAAATTATTGTTTGAAATGCCTTAACCGTGATTTCAATTCTGAACCAAACAGAAAAAAGAGGCTGGTTAACACGGGACTGTAATTAACTGATGGACGGAGGAAAAGCAGAGGACAAGAAAACTGCACTGTTTGTCCCTCCCATGTACAAAACAGACCTAAGAATATCCAGCAATAACTCTTAACTTTCTTTTCTTAAATTAACTTTAAGTTATCTAACTTGTCCCAGATGTCTGAATTTATCAAACTTGTACTGAACTATCTCGATGGTCTTCCTGTTTTTCTGAGTCTCGCACTTACGAAAGAAGCAGCTGGTAAAACTTCTGCTTGTGTGAAAGTCTATATCGACACAGACATTGACAGACACACACTTACCTCCGACGATGAGGTGTGTGTTTGGGAAGAGGCACTTCGCCTGCATGAGTGCTCTTGCGTGACCTGAGTGGAAAACATCAAAGATACCATCTGCATACACCCGCACCGGTCTGTCAGCTGGACGGAGAGAGACAAGATGAGACGTGAAGTTATCAATGATTCATTGTATCAGTGACTGTACAGACTGAATCTAAAAGTGTAGTTGTTTGTTCATATGTATGTTAAAGTTAGGGTCAGTCGTTCTGGAGAAAGATCGTCGACTGACCCCACCTTTAGGACCAAGAGGAAATTTACTGACATTAGAAGAAGAAGAAAAAAATGAAGAAGCACAAAGAGAAAGGGGAAACATGAAAGATCTTAATCAGACTGAAATGGTAATTGTCAGACATGTGGAGAATCAGACTCACGTGGTGTTCCCCTCTTGGCCTCCTCCATGCTGACTCTCACGTAGGGTCCATCAGCTGGCTCCAGCTCATCTGCAAAAGGTGCAGGGTGCTTCAATCCCTAAACAGAGCCATTCCAACAGAAAGGGGAAGATGTCTGTTTATTCACACAAAATGACAGCTGTACACCAAAGTGAAACATGTTCTCACTTTGTCCTTCTGTCAGTATATCACAGACATGCACAGAGCCTATAGAAGCTGCTGGACAAACACGCTGCTCAGTGACAGCCCAAGAACACAGCTGACTCACCACAGTACACCTGGGGATTTTCCCAAGCCTCTCTCCTTCCTCGGTCTCCCCATTGGAGCCCTCTCTTCTCCTCTTTCGGGACAGCAGCAGCCCGCTGGAGCTTTGGGCCTCCATCTGTATCAAGGGCCAAAACAAACGCAATTAAAACAAAGCACACTTCACGTAAACCGTGCTTATATGATTATATAGGGACGCACTCGCGGACATGAACTCTATGCTACATAATTACAGCAGACAGCAGTGAGGGTTATGACAGATGACACGTCCTGAGTCAACTTTCCCCCAGTAACAGAGGGAGAACATAGTATGTGCCTTGGCTCAATGCACCATCAGGATGTATTGGATAAAAAGAAAGTAGTAGCTTTTACTGGCACACATATAAAGGTCAACTGTAAATAAAGCAAACACCACCTGATATAACATTTTAAAAAAAGAGTTCCTTTCTAAACATACAGAAAATGAACCACGTCCAGCCTTCACTTCAGATTCCTGTTCTGGTCGGCTGCCATTTCCAAAGATCAAGTATCACTGAGAGCAAGTTAACGTTGGATTTGGCATTAGCCCTGTTTCACCAGACTTCAGCTCACTTTGTTTTGTACATAACAGCCAGCTGGCTGAGTACCTGGTGACTATGCACACTGGTATGTTTAGTGCTGCTTTTAACCAAATCCCAAACTCCATTATCAAGCATATCAAAAACAAAACAATGATTTCAAAACATTCTTTAATGTGAGTGTAAGATATTAGCTCAACATCCTGGATATCTGTAACACATATGATAAAGTATGGCTGAAAACAACTCATCATTTTTATTGTTGATTATTATCTTAATTAATCTATCTGTCTATAAAACATAAAAAAAAGAGAAATATCTTGTTTTGTCCAACTAACACTCAAAAACCCAAAGATGTTACATCTTACATCTTTACAATGATATGAAACAAAGAAAAGCAACAAATTCACAAACATTGTAGGAGCTGGAACCACCAAATGTTACACATTCTTACTTGAAAAAAGACTTTCATTATATAATAATTATCAAAATCGTTTCCTGTCAATTAATTGACTGTGCATAACCAAATAAACCTGGAAGAGTGGAAGTCCAATGATCACTGGGTAGTCTAGAACTGTGTATAACTGTGTATAACTGTGTAAAACTGTGTATAACTGTGTATAACTGTGTATAACTGTGTATATAA